GCCCTCCTGCAGCTGCTCAGTAACAGGATTTCACACACCTTCCTCTAGTAGTAGGAACCACCCAGAGGCATAAGTGAGTAGTATCTGAGGCACATGAGAACCTTAAACTGGCTGATACCTTCCCCTCCCCTTAGTCTGAGAAAGAATCCCAGTCCTCTCCATTTGAGGAGAACACCTTCCATTGTCTCACCCATTATGTCCAAAATATGGAACAGCTATTTAAAAAATTGAGCAACAAATGTAGCAATTATGGTAACTTTGAAATGGATTTTATGTTTTTACAAGTCTATTCTTTCATGAAAAGTCACATGTAAATGCTTAGGGCATTCTAATACACATATATAAATGCACATGCACACATAGAGAGCATATATAAGCTCTAGATTATTATTTACAACCTATTTTAATATACCCATGATGCATTCATTGAAATAGTCACAGAACTGAAAACTTGGGACTCAATGAGTTAAACTCTCTAAGATAGGAAACGCTTCCCCACTTCCCCATTCCTCCTTTCCTCCAGGCCCACTGGAAGTCAAATCCTAGCACAGCCAAGGAAAGATCTGCAACTTGGTCCCAGTAGGACACAGAACCAATGGAATGCAAGGTCTGCTCATGTGTTTGGGGATTGTGTGTTGGTATAATTCTGTTTCCCAGCTTGATGCCATACTGCTGCCAGCACAAGTCTTGACTCAGCTACAGAACTTACAGGACTTCTTTGGTGTACTGTCTTTCACCCAACACTACTTTTTACCAACAAACATATTTCACCATAAGAGAAGTGCAGAAGTAGGTTCATGTGCCATATCACCCAGAAGCAGCTAAACTGATAAATTGTGAAAGAGTCCATGGAAGATAACAAGGACAGATGACAGACCAAGACCTGTGAGATTAGGATGCTGTACTCTGGGAGGTAGTGTGTGCTTTAAGCCAGCAGTAAAGATATACTTGTGTTTCCCCACAGCTAGAATACATGGTTCCAAAAACAAAGGGGTGCTGGTAAGAGTTGCCCCTTTGACTCTCACATGTAATGGCTCACACTCAAGCAATTTTGCATTTATCTCCACAATCTTGGTCTTTGTGGACCTAGAGGTCTTAATCTCTGAGAAATAAGTGGATTCCTATGGTACATAGGTGATTGGGACTGACTTCCAAGAGAAAGGGATTCAAAATACGTGAGGTCAGAAAAGACGAATAAAGCACAAGGATGGGAAAACACTGAGACTCTTCAGCAATTAAGGTCAAAAATCACTGCATCAGGTGAAGAATCCTACCAGGGAGGATATCTGAGGTAAGAGTCTTCTGAACAGCTTCTCAGAAATCACATAAGACCCCTTCTCATAATGGCTTTCCAGCCTTCATGGCCTTGGACCCTAAAACTTCTTCTTAGAGAACTCCCAAGAGAGGAAAAATTCTTAAAATCACCAGGCTCCCTGCTGACACAATCCAGCTGAGACCAACCTATTGCTGGCTTTCACCCTCTCATTGTGGTTTTGAACCACTGAGCTCTTGGGCAACTGAGGTACACCATCTTCAGCATTGCTCCCGCCTTACTCTACCCATCCCTCTAACCACAGCCCCTCCATCTTCTCTATTTACTAA